GGAATGGTATCTGGCAAACCGTGAGCTCTGGATATGTGTACGGAAGGAGTGCTGCTGCCCTTGCTGTCCCTTCTCTTTCCTCTTTGAATCAGGAATAAACGGCCGAGCTGGGGCTGCCATCCAAGCCCAAACCAGCAGCACTATTTCTAGGCCCCTTGTTAGGGAAGAAAAATAAACCCCTATTTGTTTTAGCCACAGTAATTGAGCTTTCTATTATTAGCAGACCCCCCAACTTCTAGCTGACACATACAGATTTAATCACTTAATCGCTCCAATAGCAACCTGATTTACAGGTGAGGAAACTGAGCCTTATAGCAGTTAAGTGATTTGTACAAGATCATGTGAACCTTTAGCGTTTTTCTGTCCTGAGTGCCCTGCTCACCGCCTGAATCCAATTCACTTTTCAGGCCCCCTAGTGCAAACGTCTGTGATGTGTTCCCTGCTTGTTCCCCTCCTGATAAGCTTGTACTATCTGTATCATTTGTCCAGAAATTATAGGTTATTGCTCCTTTTTATCTAAGCAGACTGTTAAATTCTTGTGGCTGGACATCACATCACATTTTATATGTTTAATGCTCCCCCTTCCTCACCCACCTGCTGGCAACAATTTCATGTTGAATTGGACACCGTGAACTTACTGAACAACCTTGACCCAGACATTTAACCTCTCTGTTCTTTGGTCTTCTCATCTGAAAATCAGAGTGTCAGCCTGGCAAGTTCCAGATTTGTAATGCAGGATGAACTTTGCTTAGTATCACAGAGCTAAGAGATAACTGAGAGAGTGGTAGGTTGCTGGCACTCCCAGGAACAAGACAGCACAAACCTGTCCATCAGCAATGTCTATGTCAAAGAGCCCAGGAAAGGTGAAAGGTGAAGGCATCAAATGCCCATCTCAGTGAGCACACAAATCCAGACACTCAAACCAGATGGCCCCAGCCTGGCCCTGAAGTAAGAAGGATCTGGAAAAAAGAACCTATCAGCTCCACAGAGAAAAATCACCCTGTAATCTAATGACGAAGACATAACACATAAGGAACAGCTTGATGATGACTCAGAGGGGACAGGAATTTACATTTCTCCAAGAATGGCATAAAAGGCCCTTCCTGCTTTGAGAAAGGAGAAGCCAGTGTTCTGACGACATTCAGGAGGCTTCCAAGATGAGCGCTGCCAGGGAGGTGCACGCAAAGGTGATGACAGACTGGGTCTACTGGTCCTCAGGCCGGGCTGGGCCGAGTGAGACACAGCACAGCCTTCTGTCCATGCTTCTCAAGGTCAGTGCTGCCCTCCACTGGCTGGCCTACAGAACACAGCCTGTGGGAGAGGCGGGTTGGAGGGAGCCTGGAGCAGCCTTGGACTCTGCAATGGGCCTTTTCCCCATTGTTTCACACACAGGTCTCAGCTTTCTTTTCGCTGAGTGTGAATCACTTTAATAGGTAGAAGTGCCACCCCCTAGCGCGCCTCCCCCCCGTGCCTCCTATTTTACCTGAGCTGGCAAGAAAAAAAAAAAAAAAAAAAAAAAAGAAAAGGGCTTGACTTTTAATTCTCTGATAAAATCAGAATGGTGGGATTTTTGAGCTGAAATCCTAACAGTCATGCAGTCCCACCAGATTATTATTATTTTTAGAGATGGAGTCTCACTATGTTGGCCAGGTTAGTCTTCAACTCCTGGCCTTAAGTGATCCTCCCACCTTGGTTTCCCAAAGCACTGGGATTACAGGCCCAATGGTAAAGGTCACACAGGTATCAACCAGAAAGTACTCATTCCTTAAGCCAGGATTGAACCTGGGCTGCCACTGTAAAATGGTAAAGCTACAGCAGCTGAGCTACAGCATTTCATCTAGTTTGCTGTGTTTTAACCTTTGGCTGGCCCTGCCCCCTCCCCTCCTTCCTAAGGTTGACTCTAGGCTGCTGTCACTCACTCTCAGACATCCTTGCTTGGCAGCTCTGGGGTAGGCAACTCTGCCACCCTGGCCCGTTTGCTGAGTTCTTCACCAGGTGGTTCCTCGGCTGCTTCCAGCTTGCGTTTGGGAGATGCTGGGCCACTGGGTAGTGGTCTTGGGCCTGTAGGGAAGTGTGTCAAGGGTCACATAGACTGTGCTTACAGAGGTGCTCCCTGACTGCTCCAATCTCAAGTGACGCAGCAAAATGATCCTACACTGTGCAGCGGCAGCTCTTTAGGGGACCGGGAGCACACTCATCAATGGAATGCCAGCATGCCGCGCCCCTGGCCTTGCTTTCAGCAGTGAGTTTTCCTGGAAATGTCTAAGGAGAACATGACCAACCAGGCTTGCTGGTAGCAGGACCAGCTTTTGGGCCCCAAATGCCACGGGCTGCAGCCAGAGACTGATTTGGCCTGCCTGCTGTCCTTGCTTTGAAGGTGAGGCATTCCCTTGGCAACCCTGAATCAGCCTCCCTGAGCAGCAAAGAGCAGGGGCCCCGAGGAGGAGGCATGCTGCCCATGGAGGCAGCCTAGTTGGGAAACTAGAAAAACCCTTGTTCTGCCATCTCATGTTCCTGATGTTCAGTCCCAAAAAGGGAGGAGGCTCAGAATGCAGTGAATCTGTCTAGTCTCTCTCTTTGCGGCCACCACCCTGTCTGTGCTGCCTCCTCCCTGGGCTCCCTGTGCCTGCTCCAGCCTACACTGTCCAATCTCCACCCAGCAGGCTGGGGAGCTTTTTCAGGCCTAAGTCCAATCATGCCCTGCCCTACTGACCATCCTTCAGTGCACAGAAGGCTGAATCCTAGTCCTCGTCTCGGACATCAGGCCTGCCACATGCTGCTGGTGCTTATCTTCTCATCTCATTCTAGCTCTGCACTGGGACATAGTCGCCACACTGACCTCCCTTTGGTTCCTTGAATTGGCTAAGCTCGGTACTGTTTTTGAGCTTTTCCCTGCTATTCCCTTTGTCTGGAATGTTATTTTCTCAGTGTGTGGCAGGGCTGGCTCCTGCTCATGACGTGGGTCTCTGCTTACACAGGTGTTCCCTGACTGCTCCAATCTCAAATGATGCAGAGGAAGCCCTCCTTCCCCAGTCCCTCTATCAAGGCACTCAACTTTCTTTTCCTCCAAAGCACTTGCTATCTGAAATGATCCGACTTGGTTCCTTCACTATCTGACCACTGCAGGTGGAATGTAAGCTCCATCAGGCAAGGCCTCCTTCTGGCCTCAGTCCTGAATGACTGAAGTGGTGGCTCAGGCCACGGAAGGCCACAGGAGCCAACTGCTTCTCACCTGCACTGCTCATGCTCCCAGCCTGGCTCGAGCTGGGCTCTGCCACAGGGTGACTGAGGTCTTCCACACAGGAAGGGACAGATGCCAGGAGACCTGGGAGAGAGGCAGGAAGTAATCAGAGTGCCGTCTTGCAGGACTGCAGAGGGTTACAGGGCAGGATGAAGCAAGCCGGGGTGGGGCGGGTAGGACCAAGACACTAAGGTTCCATTTCTTCCCACTGCCCCACAACTACTCAGGGAGGCCCAGTCCATCCCAGCCTGCAATATCCCACATCCCAGGAAGGTCGGTGAACTTAGCCTGAAAGACAGCACTAGCCTCCCTTTGCAAGTAACTGGACATCCCCATCTGGTCCCACTGAGCCTACAGGTGCTGTCCTTCCCTTCAGTGAGCCAGGTGTTTGTCTCCTTACAGAGTCCCCGGTAGCGTGAGAGCTGCTGGTAAATCTGCTTCATTCGTTCAATGTTGAGCCGACTGGTCTCGGCATGGTTGACGATGGGCCGTGGGTAGTCCACACCAATGATGCACTTGGCTGCCTTCTGAATGGACTCTGGGGCATTCCAGGGCTCATAGATGTATCGAGAGGGGAACCCTTTCAATTTGGGCAGGTACCGCCTGAAATAAGATGCACCAGTTGACTCGTCAGCATACCTAGACTCTCCTTCAAAGGGCCCGGGGTATCCCATCCTAGGAGGAGGACACAGTGATCAGAAGCCAGAGAGCCTTGTCTGCATCCTCACCTGATGTAGTCTCCACTGGGGTCTGTGCGACGGCCGAAGCCCACAGGGCAGTAGCAGTGGAAGAACTGCTGGAAGAAAGCACTGCAGGACAGCCACATCCAGCTGCCTGCGTTCACGCTGAAATCTGCATCCAGGAGCAGCTCATCAAATACCTAAATAGGGGAGGGGATGATCAGCCTCCTTGGGGACCTGCTGCCATGTTTCTTCCCAAGTCACCACAGTGCCCCCAGGAGTCAAAGCCCTTCTGCTGAAGGCAAGCCACAGAAGATCTGAAGGGGATCTCCTGGACCCAGAAATACCAACCCATCCCTCAGCCCAGAAGGGGGCTAACCTTTGCTGGGCCTGACCAGAAGGTACAGGCCAGCTTTTTGCTGAGAGACCACTCACCCGGACCCCGCTCTCCCAGCTGACCCAGAGGTCCCCGCGGGTCAGGAAGCAGGCCACGGCGTGCCGGGCCAGGTGGTGGATCCAGCCCTCCTGCCTCAGTTGGGTCATGATGGCATCAATCCAAGGGAAGCCTGTCTTGCCCTCGGCCCACTTGGCCAGGGCCTCAGGATTGCGGTCCCAGGGGATCTGGATGCAGATGGGGTTCCCCTCCATGCGGTCAAACCTGGGGTTGTTGGTAGCTGCCGTGTAGAAGAACTCTCGCCATAGGAGTTGCCCAAATAGGGAGAGGGGAGGTGTGCTGTTCCGCTTCACCTGAGGGTAGGGTGGCACATGGGTACAAACACTTGCCCAGCTCTTAGCATGACGCCTCTCAGGCATCTTCTACAGAGGAATCTGGGCCCTCCGCAGACCTGGTGGCTCAACCCCAGATGTGGAGGAACTATCCCTTAGAAGCGGCACAGTATGCCTGCAGGTGCAACACCCAGGCCCTGCCTGCACTGTGCCACTGCCCTGAGCAAGAAGAAAGCTACAGAGGGCCGGGCAGTGGGAAGGAACCTCACCACAGGACTCTGCACTAGGAATCAAATTTCCCAAGGCTGGTGATGTTCCTTGTCCTCAGAGTTCCCTGTTTGGCTCCACCTTTTAGACAGTCAAAAGGAGTTTTCCTATCAGTGCACATGAAAAATGCTGTCTAGATTCTGGTTGAATAAGTTATACACACAGCCTGGATCTGGGACCATAAAGTAATTAAGAAATCAGACCTCCAAGCAAATAATAACTTCCCTAAAGCCACAAGATTACTCACCAGACTGGCAAAGCTACCCCATGCCACAAAATCTCAAAAATGGCAAGGATGGGGAGATAACACTAAAAAAATGTAGGTGGGTAGACTGCTTGAACCCAGGAGTTTGGGAACAGCCTGGGCAACATGACGAAACCCAGTCTCTACAAAAAAATCAGCCAGGTGTGGTGGCATGAGCCTGTAGCCCCAGCTACCTGGGAAGCTGAGGTAGGAGGATCTCCTGAGCCCAAAAGGTTGTGGCTGCAGCGAGCCATGATCATACCACAGCACTCGAGCCTCGGTGACAGAGTGAGATCCTGTCTCAAAAACAAACAAACAAAAACAAACGCAGACACAACTGCTAGGCATAGTGGCTCACACCTGTGATCCCAGCACTATGGGAGGCTGAGACAGGAGAATTGCTTGTGCCCAAGAGTTCGAGACCAGCTTGGGCAACATAGCAAGACCCCATCTCCACAAAAAATTTTAGAAATTAGCTTGGGATGGTGGCACACACCTTTGGTTCCAGCTGCTTGAGAGGCTGAGGTGGGCGATTGCTTAAGCCCAGGATTCTGAGGTTGCAGTGAGCTGTGATCAGGCCACACTAAACTCCAGCCTGGGTAACAGATCTAGACTCTGTCTCTTAAAAACACAACAGAAATGAAAAAATCATAGGCACAAGATGATGTGATCACTCTGAATGTTGATTGCGTTGCCCTCTCTCCTTCTGGGGACACTTAACACAGGCTTATTTGCTTCTTGTGTGTTTAGCACAGCTCTGTGTGCAGCCTCTCCAGACCACGCCCTCCATCACTGATGGACAACTGCTGCTCCTAGACTCCCCTTCTGAACGCTGTGGACACAGCCTGGAGGGGGCAGCTGTGCTCTTCAGCTGCAGACTGGCTCCAGCCTCACCCTCTCCATGCCTGTCACGCGGGGACCTCACCCCCATCCACCAGCTGCCAGAGGATCTGCCACCTCTAGAGTCACACCTGAGGCCTGCTTTCTGCCTGCCCTTCTGCTCTGCATGATGGCCTGGGCTTCATTCTGGTGGGCAGTTCACTCTGTGCTTGCCCCTGCCCTGTGGGATATGGACTCCTCTCTCCTCCTCTGGACTATCTGCACACTTAGGCCCTTCCAGCGGCCACAGCCCAGCCCCCTCCCACCAATGCCTTTTTTTTTTTTTTTTTAAGGCAACTGACAAGCCCAAAAGGCCTGGCTGCAGGCCTTAGCTACAACTTGGGCAGGTACGTCCCTCTTACCTTTTTATAAAGGTCCCACAGGCGGTAGTAGAAGAGGCGGCAGGAGAGACAACCAAAGCGCAGGTAGGGGCTGAGGCCTGTGGGGCTGGCCAGGAGGGAGTTGGCGTTCATTCGGGGTCTCTCATAGTTGGCAACCCAGGCCTACAGCAGAAAGAGAAGGTGGCAAAAGGAAGGGCCTGGATGTTACAGACGAAAAAATGGAGGCATTGGATGGTTAAGGAATCTGCCTGAGGTCACAGAACAGCCAGCCATGGAGCCAGCACTTGAACACTGTGCTCGTCCAGCTGATTCGGAGACGGAACCAGCAGACCAGCGACTTCCCTGACTTGCTCTTTAATTTGTGGGGTGATTGTGAACATATTTTCACATCCCTCAGCTACTTATCTATTAAATAAGAACAAAATTTCCAATCTCCTGCGGATTAAAATGAGATATGAAAGAATTCTGAAAGCACTAATTAAACTCTCTAATTATACAGCAGGAAAAACAACTTCTACTTTACAGAAAAAAAAATTTTTTTCTCAGTCCCATCTCTAGTCACTAGGGGCCCTGAGGTTGTATCATGGACACCAGGGACTTCCACTATTGTTCAACAGCAGCTGGGAAAGAGGAAATTTCCAATCCATTCCTGGGGACCAACAGAGTCATTCACTTCTGGAGCCATGTGTCATATAATATTACTGGTCATGTTTTTATTATCACTGGTTGCTGGCATAGGACTTTACTTTCCTGACTTGCTATTTCATGCAGTCTCTCATTATCTTTTTTTTTTTTCTACACAAGAGTTTCACTCTTGTTGCCCAGGCTGGAGTGTAGTGGCATGATCTCAGCTCACAGACACTTCCGCCTCCCGGGTTCAGGTGATTCTCCTGCCTCAGCCTCCCAAGTAGCTGGGATTACAGGCACACGCCACCACACCTGGCTAATTTTTGTACTTTTAGTAGAGATGGGGTTTCGCCATGTTGGCCAGGCTGGTGTCGAACTCCTGACCTCAGGGTGACCCACCCGCCTCAGCCTCCCAAAGTGTTGGGATTACAGACATAAGCCACTGTGCCTGGTCTCAATTGATCTTAACAATCATCCGAGGCATCATTTGTCACTACCTCCTTTTGAAAACAAGGAAGCTAAGTTCAAAAGGTTCTGTGACTCTCCTGGGGGTTACTGAGATGGTAAGAGACATGGCTAGGGGTGAATTTGGCTTCTGACTCCAGGTTCCATTCTCTTTCCATTACATCTAATAACTATTTACACATTCTTAACTCCCACATCCTCTCCTTCTCTCTCCATGATGACTGTTTCACAATCTTGATTCTCCTCAGGCCTCCTGCTCCATACTTCCCTAGAAGTGGAAGCCATCAGGTGGGAAACACCTCTGCTTTCAGCCACTAAATCTATCAGCTCACCTGCACCCACACCGACCCCCCTTCCGTGACCCTGCCCAAGGCTAAGGCCTCCACCTGTTCTGGAACCCCCCTTCCTTATCTTGCATGTTCAACATCTTTTACAGTCTTCACTCCCAAAACACTGAGAAAATCATCTCGTTTCTCCCCTTTGCACAGGCAACAAAATGAAAACAAACGGCTTCCGGCAACCCTGTGGACTTGGGTCCTTTTTCCTCCTTCACAGCCGGCCTCTCTGCACTTCCCCTCCCCCACCTTCCATTTCTGGCCCACTCCATCCTGGCCACCTCCCTCAAGAGTCTCCTGTGACTTCTGTGCCACTGAATCCTGCAGGCACTTTCTGTCCTTGTATTTTGGGATCTCTCGGCAGCGCTGTACCTGCTGACTGTGCTGTCTTATCCCCTCGATTCCCTGGCCTCTGTGACTCCACATCTCCTGGTAACTCCCGGCCACCTGGTGTTCTTGGTCTTTCACCAGCTCCACCTCCTCTACCTCTCCCTTAAATGTGGGCCCAGGGCTCTGTGCTAGGTTCTCTACACAACTGTGTGCCTCAGCAAGCTCATCCAGGCCCATGGCTCCCAGTTCCACCCCTTTGCAGACAATCACATCCATAGCTCTAGCCCAGGTTGCTCCACCTGGCTGCCTGCTGGAAACCTCCACTTGGCTGCCTCTGAGGCACCTTGAGGGGTATGTGCCCTTTTTTTTAAAGCCACCCTTCCACTGGCCTCCCTACCTCAGATAATACACTGCTATCTACCTCACTGCCCAAGGCACAATCCTAGTCATCACCTTTGCCCCCTCACCAAGTCTAGTCATTCTGCTGCACGAATATTTCCCAAATCTGTCCTTTTCTTTCCATTCCCTGCTGCCACCAACCTGGTTCAGGCCAAGGTCATTATCTAGACTGGACAACTGTGACAGCCTCCTGCCCGGCCTACCTGTGTCCACTCCCTCCTGCCTGGCCTCCCTGTGACCACTCCCATCCCCTGCTAACTCATTCTCTGTATTAAAAACTAGAGTGATGTAAAGATGCCTGTTGCTCAGGATAATGTGTACAGTGGGCTTCCTGTTGCTCTGAGGACAGAGCCCACATCTTCACGAAGGCTTCTGTGGCTCCCCAGCACCCAGGCCTTTCCAGCGCTGTCTCTTGCCCCTAGTCTTTTTTTTTTTTTTGAGATAGGGTCAGGCTGGAGTGCAGTGGTGCCATCTTGGCTCACTGCAACCTCTGCTTCCCACTGCCCCTCCTCTTTACACATCTGCTCTCACTGGCCTTTGTCTCTGCACAAGCAGCTGCCTCTGGTCCACGGCCTGCCTGTCCCCTCACCTTTACCTGGTTAACTGAGACTCTTCCTTTAAGTCGAAACCTCAAGGCCTCCTCCTCAGCAGGTAACCCCTGTGGTTAAGCACCTCTAACAGACACTAGGTGTTTCTGCCTGTGTACATCCTTGCTAACCCCCCCACCAACCTTTTAAAGTATTTTTATTTTAAATGAAACATGGATACAGAAAATCCACAAATGTGTGACTTAATGAATTATTCTAAGGCAAATACTCATGCAATGGCCGCCAAAGTTCAGGAAACAGAGCTTTGACAGTCACTCCAAGAGTCTATGTGCTCATCCCAGGAATAGTCCCTTCCAGTCCCCCACATAGTAGCCCCCACCTCAGCTTTTATAATAAACACTTTCGGAATTTCTGAAATATTTACATTTTTTAATTTTGGTAAAACATGTTTGAAAGGAAGGACTTTAACTTTTCACAGTTATTTAATGTGTTTAAGTAGCTTCTTTTTTTCACCTGAATGTGCATTCCTAGGTGTTATAATTTAGTCTTGGCCATTAAACAAACTTATTTCTGTCCTGGTGCAGTGGCTCATGCCTGTAATGCCAGCACTTTGGGAGATGAAGTGGGAGGATCACCTGAGGTCAGGAGCTCGAGACCAACCAGGCCAACATGGTGAAACCCTGTCTCTAAAAAGACAAAAATTAGCCAGGCATGGTGGTGTGCACCTGTAATCCCAGCTACTCAGTTTTCTTTTTTTTTTTTGAGACGGAGTCTCACTCTGTCACCCAGGCTGGAGTGCAGTGGCATCATCTCATTTCACTGCAAACTCCACCTCCCAGGTTCAAGCAATTCCTGTGCCTCAGCCTCCCGAATAGCTGGGATTACAGGCGTGTGCCACCATGCCCGACCAATTTTTGTATTTTTAGTAGAGATAGGATTTCACTATGTTGGCCAAGCTGATCTCGAACTCCTGACTTCAAATGTTCCATCTGCCTTGGCCTCCCAAAGTGCTGGGATTCTTTTACTTTTTCTTTTTTTTTGAGACTCCACTCTCTGTCACCCAGGCAGGAGTGTGGTGGCATGACCTCCTGAGCTTAAGCAATTCTCTCACCTCAGCCTCCCAAGCAGCTGGGACCACAGACACACACCACCACACCTAGCTAATCTGTTTTTATTTAGAGATGAGAGCTCGTCATGTTGCCCAGGCTGGTCTTGAACTCCTGGGTTCAAGAGATCCTCCTGCCTTGGCCTCCCAAAAAGTGCTGAGATTACAGGTGTGAGCCACCATGCCTGGCTTTTTTGCTGACCGTATACTCATGGTGCTGTTCCACAAGTCCTCTGTCCTGTACATTACTTGCACATTGGTGGCTGGTAGCAGAAACTAGACTGGACTCAGGTCCGGTCCCTTTGGCAAGACTACAGGGGGCACATAATGCTTGCCTCCTTGTATGGTGTCAGCAGTCACCAATACATAATGGATCATCACTGAGGGTTACAAAATGGTGGTATTCTAAGTCCATCATTCCTTTTTAATAATCAGAATATTTTCATAGAGAGAGGCTTGCCCTCATCTACTATTGGGTAACCCAGTGGTAAAGCTCATGTAGCTTCCTCCCCTTTTCAGCAACAGCATCTCATGTTCCTGTGGAGAACCAGACTTCCCTAATCCTAGTCTGAATGGGTAAAGTAGAGCGAAACCTCCCTTCCAGCTCTGGGTGTGGGCTCACGATCCAAGTCTGGCCAGGGAAAGCACCCACTCCTACACCTGGCCACAGTCACTGAGTCAGGGGCAGTCACATGACCCAAGCCAGGCCAATGGAAACACGCCTACACCTGGCCATAGTCACTGAGTCAGGGCCAGTCACATGACCCAAGCCAGGCCAATGAAAACATGCCTTGGGACTTTTCCTGAAGCTTTTGGAAAAGAGGCATATACGTTCCTCTATCTAGTATTACTAAACAGACTGAAAATAAGCTGGCGGTGACTGGCTTTGCCACTGATCAAGGAAAGCCTGTCTGAGGATCAAATAACAGAGAGGAAAGAAGAGCTGAAAGATGGAGATTGCATTCCTCACAGCATTCTTTGGAACCTGGAGCTGTGTCTGAAGGTTACTGTTGGTTATGTCGCCTAAAAAGCCCTTGCCTTTTTCAAAAGCCAGCTTGCAAACAAGAACTGATTGATGTAGTCCTCATGCTCTTTGCTCCCATAACCCTCTGAACCTCTCCCTTTCTAATCCTTACAACATCTATAATTCCTTGTTTAATGTCCAACATTTCCAGAAGACTGTTTCTGGAGACAGACTCCGTGCCTAACTTGTTCACAGTCTTTCTAGAAGTTAGAACATCCTGGCATGAGTAGATATTCCCTTCAGATTTGATTTGGAGAGCTAAAGGAAGCTAAACATCCTGAAACCAGGATCAACTCCTGTACCTCTAGCACCTTCTGTTCTCCCAGATGTGCAGGACACAGGATTTCCTGTGGCTACCACTGAGTCTGAACCCATCCATGGCATAAGGCCCTTGAGAGAAGGGGCCCACTGGGCGTTTGTAGAAAAGGAACTCCTGTTGGTGACTTAAGGAGCATCCCTCTACAAAATGTTCTCCAGCTGATAAAAACCACAGGCCATAGCTCTTTTTTTTTCTTTGTGTTACCCAACTTCCTATTGATTTGCACAGGCCACAGCTCTTTACAGGTTTAAGCCTTATTCTACTCCTGCAATCCCATTTGTCATCTGCACCCTTCTGCCCCTTGGCCCACCCTTTGTCTTCAAACTGGGCCCAAGAATCTCTAGGTAAAGTTTCTGATGTGGGCAGTGATAGCTGGTCTCATCCTTTCAAGTCTGTGGGGCTTGCTTTTGGCCCAGGCTGATGGTAACGCCCAGGTGGAAACATAGAGGCTGTGGGCCTTCACTGTTGACTGGACACCTCCAGGACTGGAGAACGTTCTTCCCAAGCAGCCTTGCCTTGGCCTCCTTGTTCTATTATCATCTATTCCATTATCATCATCTGGCTGCTGCGCAAAATAGCCATCTTAGTAGGTATAGAAAAAGCCATGATTGGCTGGGCGTCGTGGCTCATGCTTGTAATCCCAGCACTTTGGGATGCCAAGGTGGGCTGAGGTTGGGAGTTCGAGACCAGCCTGACCAACATGGAGAAACCACGTCTCTACTAAAGATACAAAATTAGCTGGGCGTGGTGGCGCATTCCTGTTAATCCCAGCTACTTGGGATGCTGAGGCAGGAGAATCGCTTGAACCTGGGAGGCGGAGGTTGCAGTGAGCCAAGATCGTGCCATTGCACTCCAGCAACAAGAGTGAAACTCAGTCTCAAAAAGAAAAAAAAAAAAAGGCAAAAAAAAAAAAAAAAAAAAAAAAAAAGCTGTCATTTTATAAACTAGCTGCAGGGGGCAGGAAACTAGGGGAGGACTGTTCTCAGATATGAGAACCTTCTCTGCTCCTCTAGCTGCAGGGGGGTGAGGGCCATGTGATACTGTAGGCCTGGGCTTCTTTCCTTCCCAATTCCCACTGCACTGGGAGCTGGGCCATCTGCTCTGTGTCCAAGCAAATGGAAATCAACATGCTGAAAGAGTCCCAGCAAAAGGTACGGAGACACATCAACACAAAATAATCTTATAGACTGCTGACCAGATATCCTCTTAGAAGGGTGAGCCTGCCCACAGATGAAAGACAAGCAATCCAGCATAGCTTTAGAATGACACAGAACAAGGTTTTACTGTAGTATAAGGTGAGCATCCCTAATTCAAGAATCTAAAATCTGAAACACTTTTGGTCCCAAGCACTTTGGATAAGGGATACTCAACCTGGAATTACTAACTCTGTGACCTCAGGCAAGTTACTTAATCTCTCTAAGCCTCAATTTTGCAATCTGTAGAATGAACAGCTTAATACCTACCTTGTAGGGCTGTTGGAAAGATTAAAAGAAATGCCAGCGGTGCTTAACCCAGAAATGCTGAGCCTAGTGACCAGCACATGGTAAGTACTCACTAAATGGTAGCTGCTATTAGTGTTGCTATTGTTAATGGCCATCAGGAGGAGTGGAGGATTTTTCATTTTCCAACCAGTGTGAGCCAAGAGGCACTAAAGGACATGAACATGGCCTGTATCCCCCACTGTGTGGACATCCGTATCTGCAGCTCTGTGTCTTAGAAATGGCCCATACCTTCCGTTCCAAGTGCTTATCAAGGCGGGCCAGAGCTTCTGTCTCTCCTCCCTGCCAGACAGCTGGACCAAGTCCTTCAGTGGGGAATCCTGAAGAGAGGGAAGAGTCACAGACAGGAGGTTAGACCATTTCAGGGATAGCCTGGCAAGTCTTGACGCACTGATTTGTTATTTGAGCTTTATGAGAACTGAAGCATAGGATCTTGGTGCTGCTGGGGATGAGATAATCCTTAAAGTTTTAGCTTTTTCTAGGTCAACTTAGTTCTCTTCCCACAGTCACTGTTTTTTCTGCTTTCCCCTGCCTGCCCCATGTCAGCCCCTCTTCACTCCAAGCAGGTGCGAACAATCCCGTACCTCCTGCCTTTTCAGATTAAATGGTAACAACTGTGGTTTTCAGGTGAAAAAGGCTAATAGCTTTGTTCAGATCAAAAGATGGGAGGGGTGGCTGGGTGCGGTGGCTTATGTCTGTAATCCCAGCACTTTGGGAGGCTGAGGTGGGTGGATCACTTGAGGTCACGAGTTCAAAACCAGCCTGGCCAACATGGTGAAACCCTGTCTCTACTAAAAACACAAATACGAGTTGAGTGCGGTGGCGGGCACCTGTAATCCCAGCTACTTGGGAGGCTGAGGCAGGAGAATTGCTTGAACCCAGGAGGCGGAGGTTGCAGTGAGCCAAGACTGCACCACTGCGTTCCAGCCTGGGCAACAGAGCAAGACTCCATCTCAAAAAGAAAAAAAAAAAGAAAGAGGGAGGGCTGAAAGAGTGTAGTTAGTAATCCAAGAGGCTGACAGACTCCCCGCTTTCAACAGAAGCAATACTAGTTATCCTGTTACTGAGAAGCCCACAGACACCAGTGCCAGTCAGTACCTATATTGTCTGCGAGAGGAAAGTACAAAAAGAGGCACAATCTAGAACCAGAAACAGAAGATTACATGTATGAGTATGAACAGAACAAATACTGGAAGGACATAGTTTAAAATTAATGGTGGTTACCTCTGGGTGGTGGAGTAATAGTGACTGCCATTTCCATCCCTGTTTTCCTGTGCTTTCTAACCTTTCTAATAATAACATGCATTACTTTGACAAAGAATTTATTTATACAAAAAGAAGCACCAGCACAAGCAGCTCTGGGCAGGAAGTACGCACCTAGCTCCTCCAGGGAGGGCACGCCGTACGTCTCATCGTGGTTCTCCTGGATCTCGGCCCTGCAGCTCTCCATCTGCTGGCTGGTCACCGAGCCCACCGGCTTCTTGGGCAGCTCCATGCGGCTGATGATGGCCTGAAAGCGCTTGTATGTAAGGGGTGGCTTCTGCCCATTCAGCTCAATGATCCTAGGGAGCCCAAAGCACAGCTAGTGTTACCCACAAGGCCCTCTGATTTGGGTTCCTGTCCACCCAAAAAGGAGCCCAGACACTGAAGGCTTTGAGGGTGGCTTTTCTCATCCACTCACAGGTCCCATGCCTGAATGGAAAGGAGGGGGCAAGGGAGGCTGGATCTCCATTTTACCGAGAGGGAAAATAAAGCCCAGAAAGCTGGAGCAGGTGCCTGAGGTAATGGAGCAAGGCATGGCCAGAGCTTGGACTCAATTCCAGGCTCCCTGGTGTTGATGCAGAGCTGCCTAAAGACAGGACTGATCACATCTCTTTAATCACAGAAAAATCCCTACTAGCCTGCTTGGCACTTGGCCTATCTGTCCAAGCTATGGGAATTCCCACAGGCCACTACTCCTACATAAGCCCTGGAGGAAGTCCTTTGATAAGAGCTAAAGACATCTTTTTTTTTCTTTCACTCTAACATCATAAGGAATAGCAGACATGTTCCCTTTTTTGGGCAATCATCCCCTTCTTAGCCTCCATTTGTTAGAACATAGAGTCCACAGCCACAACTAATACTTAAAGAGTGTCTTGTAGTTTACAACGTATTTTTCAAGAGCAGGGGAAATATAACTGCACTTATGCAAGAAGGAAAGATGATTGGCGGTGAAGAAGAGAACAGAGGCTGTTTTATATAAGGATGAATTGGGACGGTATGGAGCCACATTCCCCAGGCTCTTGTTGGCCAAGAAGTAGCTTACGCAAGGCCCATCTGGCTGGGTGAGTTCATTTCTCAGTTTGTTCTGCCTCGCTCTCCCCATGTTAGTGGAGATATAAGGTCGGCTGCTGCCTCTGCTGTGCCTCCCCCTCCTCTGGCACGCAGCAGGAGGAGGATCTCCACACCCAGCCTCTCCTCCTGAGGGCCTGGCTCACGTGCACAGCTGTGTGACCTGGCTTCTTGGCAGTCAGCACTGGGTTGGGGAGTGGCGGTGGGGAGCGGCTGCGGCTGCTGGCTTGGAAGCAGCAGCAGCAGCAGCAGCAGCAGCAGGAGGGTGACAGCTTTGGCAGGGAAGGGGAGGAGAGGAATTCCTCCTAGAATCTCTGAAAGCGCAGAGGCTGTCACCAGGGGAAGAGGTTCCTCTGTAGTTAGCAGCTCCCTGCAGGGATCTCTAGAGCCCTCCCCACCACCAAGCAACATGGCCTGAAAACCCAGATAATCACAGAACCGGGAAACTCATCTTTTTTTTTTTTGACACAGGGTCTTGCTCTGTCACTTAGGCTGAAGTGATGTGGCATGTCACAGCTCATGGCAGCCTCAACCCCCTGGGCTCAAGCGATCCTCCCACACGAGCCTCCTGAGTAACTGGGACTACAGGCATGTGCTACCATGCCTGGCTAACATATTTCTTTATTTTTTGTAGAGACGGGGGTTTCACTATGTTGCCCAGGCTTATCTTGAACTCCTGGACATATGTGATCCTTTTGCTTTGGCTTCTCAAAGTGCTGGGATTCCAGGCATGAGCCACTATGCCCAGCCTAGGAACTCATCTTAGGTACAACAACTGGACTTTTGTGAACAGAGGTCTGTTGGAGGGGGTAACAGACAGGGTCCACTGAGGTCAAAGGGCAGCTGTCCAGCAGGATGGAAGTGGGAGTATGAGGCACAGGTGGGACTCAGGCATACTAGGAGCAGATCTGTGAAGGCCCTGAGTGTGGATCCTCATTACTTCCATGCCTTGGGCCTAACAAGCCTCTCTGCCACCCAAATCGAGTAAAGCTCTTTGTGACCTGTTCTACAGGCCCTGACTCTGACCTATTCTCCTCCAGCTTCTAGAAGATGCCATGCCTCCTGGGTCAGGTGGCCCTATTGCAGAACCTCCCTGAGTTCTGCTCAGCAGGGGCCCAAATCACGAATTCTCACAATTGGTAACCTGACTCCTGGGCCCTATCTCTTACCTGTCCAGGTCATAGAGGGTATGAGAGTTCTCAGTCACCACTTCCACACCAGCCTCTTTGGCCATCTTCATGATGGCTGCATCCCGTTCTTTCCCAAAGGGTTCAGAGTCATATTCGAAGGTCAAGCGGGTCACTCCCCATTCCTGTGGGGAGAGGATCTGTTATATTCAACACTACGTGTTTGGGGAGAAGGGGGAAGCTGGACTCTTAGTTCCTTCCTGGGAGAGAACAGAGCTAGTCTAGAGACTTGTCTGAGAGCAGCAGAACAAACTAGGAACGGGGATTTGATGTGGAAAGCAAACAAGCTGAGGAGGGCAGGCAGGGAGGCGAGGCCAACAGCACAGCAACAGTGGAGTCAGGGGAGAGGCCGGCAGCCTTGTGCACTTGCTGTGTCCTTGAGGCAGGAGAATGGAGCAAGAGACTAAATACAATGCTCCTGGGAGACCCCCAGTCCCAGGGAGAGGCACTGACTCATGGGTGGGACAGGACCACAGCCTTCCGCCTACTCAGCAAGCTTTTCCCAGAGCTCCTCACAGCCCTGCAGACTTGTGGCCTAGTTTTCTTGGCAGAGTTGTGCTATGTGAAGTGTCTTAATTGTTTCCACAGCAACACTCCTGAGGCCAACAGCAAACAGAGCTAATAGGTTCCAGCCCTGAGAGAGTCAGGAAGGGGGAAGCGATCCTTAGTCTGGAGGTCAGAGGAAACTGACCAGAGGGCTGCATGTTGAAAAGGAGGAAATTCTTTCTGGTAGGAATTTCTAGATCTCATAGCAAGCTGGCCCAGTGAATGGTTGTACAGACAACCCATAGAAAGTCCTAGAGCATGCAACTTGCAAGAAGAAAACGCATTCTAACCAAAGCCTCTGGGCAGGGTCTCTGAAAGTTCTGAACCACAGGGGCAAATGTCCTGGCTATGCCCAGGCAGGGCTGGTCCTGACCCAGTCCTGCCTGGGGGAGGGTCCTTAGCAGGAGCAGTTATCCCTCATTCAAGGATAAATAGCACTAAACATTTATTGAGCTCTTGCTATAAGCCAAGACTTATCTATATGATAAGCCCTATATGATACCATGCTTAGTAGTTCATATAGATTACATGATCGAATACCCATTGTAGCCTGTGAACAATAATAACAATATTATTAAATGACATTTTCTTCAAGAAGCCTTCTTGACCTCCTCCTTGAATATAATTCTTCTGTACCTTGTCTTTTTTTCCACTGCAGGATGTATTACATGACAATGAAGCTGCCTATCACTTGCCTGTTTCCCCCCATTAGTGTGAACTGTCAGAGCAGAAACCAAGCTGTCTCACTCATCATCATTACCCTTATACCTAGTATGAGGCCTAGTACCTAGCAAAAGCTCAATCAAAATACATGAAATGACTGAATATCTCTGGGCTATAACTGGGTTGGTCTCTGAGTTGCTGGGGGAGAGAAAGGGCAATGTCACGGGGAGAAGGGAGGCAAATGTATTTATATGGTATGGTTGGTAGGGACACAGCTCTCGAGTCAGAGAATCCAAGATCACCACTTATTAACTTCACAATGAATCACTGTTTCCTCACCTGTAAATCAGGATGGCAGGAGCTACCTCGCAGGCCTGCTGTCAGGAATAAGTGAGTTGATGTAAACAAGCACTGGGAAAGCGCTTGACGCACATGCAGCCCTCAATGAATGTGGGCAATTACTAGCACAGTGTGATTTGTGCATGTATGCGCAATTATGTGTGGGGGTGTGGGGAGGGAAACTGAAGGATGATGTATTTACTAAGCTGTCTGCCCTGACATGACTTTTGTCTCGGAGTTAGGGTGGAGAGGGGCATGAAAATCATGGTGTGCTGCTGAGGAGGAAGGAAGACTGTCCCAGAGCCCTCTGTCCATGAGTTTCTGTGCTTCTTTGTGGGCCTTAGAACATGCTTTTTAAAGGACTTGAAGGAAAAGTGGACTGGCCCCCTGATACTGCAAACAGAAACCTATGTGGCACCCAAATGAAGAGTTCTATCAATCATTTACCCCATGGGAAACAAGGAAGCTTCCTCAGAAAGGCTGACTTTTCCCAATAAGCAGAGCAAAGCAAGATGGGAAACGCACCTTGCTAGGCATGAAACCCCACTCTCAGTCTTGCCTTAGAAGGAACCCTAATAAATCTTGCTGGCTTCAGCCAAGAAAACATTGAAGGAAGTCACTGGCATCCGGGGTGGAATGACTTACCACATCCTATGTCTGGACTGAACTGGGAGCTTTCCAGCAAGACACTGGTTTCACAGAATTTTTTTCCTTAACACAGTTTCCATTCCAAGAGCAAGCTAACTGGCTGCCTTTGTTCCCAACTTCTCTAGCAGCAAGAGCCAGACCAGCCCTGATGTTTCCATTCTCTCAGTCGGAATATCATCTCATTCAGGCTGTGGCGAACCCTCAGACACAGAATCTCACTGTCTTCTCTGGGGGCTCTACATGCTTACCTTGAACAGCCTTGGAAACACGTCGGCTGGCTGTCCCCGGACTACAAACAGGCGGGAATTCAGTTTCCTTAAACTTGTGTCCAAATCTTCCAGAGACTGAAGTAGGAACCTGCAGAGTCCACACAGGCCTTGTTAATGAGAACATCACAAAGAGGGGCTTTCCTTCCTAACAAAGCAGGGAGGAACTGGTTCACTGTTTATGCCCAACAGGCAGCTCCATTATCACTAGGGCTGGAGAGAGGCCCGGGTTCCAGCCCAGGAGTGGATCAACGCTGTTCTGCTTCAAATCCTGGCCTTGCCACTTACTAGCTGTGTGACTTTAGGCGGTAACCTAACCTCTTTGCCTGTTTTCTCCCTGGCAATGTGAAGCTAATGTTAGTACCCATCTCATAAAATTGCTAAGAAAAGAAAATAGAATAACGTGTGAAAAAAATTTAGCACTGTGCCTGGCACACAGACATCATGAGATAAATGTGAGCTGTTCCTAGTGTGGTGTTTCTATGTGATCAGAGGCAAGTCGCCTACTCCCTCGCGGTCTCTGGGGCTGGATTAAGTATCTGCCCAGCACAAGGTTGTTGTGAGACTCACTTGGGAACCGTCTGAAAAGCCAGTGCAATGCTGTGGTATGGAAGCACTAGGTCTTCTTGGCAGAGGACCAGACTGCCATAGCGGGAAAATCCTACTTACTCTGGTAGAAGACTCCTTGCCTTTCTGCACACATGCTCTAGGCCATGTGTATTTCTGCTGCCACAGCTTCACAGCCTGCAATGCATCCCCAGTCCCCAGGGCTCTGTTTGGCAGGTGGCTCACTCTCCAGGCCTCTCCGGGCTCTGGTAATCAGGTTCTCATCCCAAGAGGGAGAAGGCCTTAGAAGGTACTTCTCAATAGATATCCTCATAATTTTGTGGGGGTGGGAGTGGGGAAGACTACAGATAGGCAAGAACTTCAGCAGGAGACCTGGATCACCAGGGGTAAGGGAAAGAAAATTAACATTTGCTGAGTGCCTTCGGTGTTTTATAGTTAAATTATATTAATATTATAACCAGATAAACTATTCATGCGGCTCAAAATTCCAGTGACAAAGCAGTACACAGTAAAAAGGGTCTTCTCTTCCCTCCCTCCCCAGAGGCAAACAAGGTTATTAATGGGATTTTGGTTTTGTCATGCTTTTTCAGTGCATTCTCTCAACTATTTTTGAAGGGAAATAGTACCAGCCTTATTTTGTAGATCAGGAACTGAGACAATGAGAGGTGAATTAATTTGCCTAAGACCATAGCTGTTAAGTGACAAAGCTGGGATTCAGGAACCTAGGGTGGTCACTCTGAAACCCACATTTTCCTCTCGGTGCCTGTTTTTTTTTTTTTTTTTTAGTTCGAGTCTCGTTCTGTCACCCAGGCTGGAGTGCAGTGGCGTGATCTTGGCTCACTGCAACCTCCACATCCCAGGTTCAAGTGATTCTCCTGCTTCAGCCTCCCGAGTAGCTGGGATTACAGGTATGTGCACCACATCCAATTAATTTTTAAAAAAATATTTTTGGTAGAGACAGCGTTTTACTATGTTGGCTGGGCTGGTCTCGAACTCCTGACCTCAAATGATCCACCCACCGCAGACTTCCAAAGTGCTGAGATTACAGGGGTGAGCCACCATGCTGGGCTCTGTGCCCCATTTCTAAAGATTTCTAGTTGCATGCCAACTCTGCTCCAGGGGCTGAGATTCTGCAGGCCCTCAGGAGTTTGGAATCCCTTTCTCTAACAGCAATCTGACTATAGGTAATCCACTGACATTCTTATCTTCTTCCTCAGGAACCCACAGGTCAGCTGCATATTTCAGACTCCTCTGAGGCACCTGCTATCTACCCCTTGGGTCTCCACCCATCCCCAGCATTCTTCTTCTCTGTCAACAATCGGAATGACTAGATTTTATCTTGAGCACAATGAAGCCCTGTACCTCCTCTGCAACACGTCACAGTCACATTCCCTGACTACTGGAGGCTTACAGAGGCAGTGACTATTCCCAGGCTGCCAACTAGAACCAGCCCCCACTGCTGCCTCTGACGTACACAACTTGACACACTCCCACAGCCAATGCCACAGACCCACATTCTAGCATGGGTGAGCTCTGGGCTCGGCTCAAAGCATCATGTTTGCAAAACAGCATGCAGAAGACTCTCTGAGGGGTTGGCATGGAAGACTAATATGTTGAATGCCACTTTATGCAAACCAAAAGCTCCACCTCTGTGAATTTCTGGTTTTGAAAAACTGACACCTTCAAAAAAGGAACAGGGAGCTGCAAGTGCATCATTTGTGTTGGCCTCCCCCAAGCCTCACCACTCTTCTAGAAGGAAAGGAAGGGAAATCCATGCAAATGTTCTCAGGCTACCTGAAACCTGGACCCTGCCAGGTAGAATGTCTAGAAATAGGGGCGGTGATTTAAATTCCAGGACACAGGTTCCTCCATCGGCAGCTCCATGCCCTTGCCATGCACTTCGGGGGCCTTTTCCCTCACAGTCCACCAGGCTGCATAGGACTTTGATTTGAAGCTATAAATAAGGTTGAAATGCACATGAAATCTGGGTTCCAGAACATGTAGCAATCTGCCTTCTATAGAACTTTATTTTTAGATCTCATTTACTAAAAGGAGAGATTCCTTGCAGCATCTCTAAAGCACAGCTAATCCTATGAGAGCCCTTTTCTTCTTTCACAAGAGATGTTTATAGCAGGAAGCAGAGATGAGGGGAAGATAGAAGGCCTGCCTTTTATTTAGTTGCTGAACCCAGCAACTAAATAAAAATAATGATAACAATGGCAATGATTAACATTTAATAAACATTTACAATGACAGGCATTATTCTACTTGTTTATACATTACCTCATTTATTCTCAAACTGCCCAATCCAGTAGGTACTATTATCATTCCCATTTTGCAGATGAAGGAACTGAGGCATACAGAGATTAGGAACTTGCCCAACATCATACGCCTAATAAGTGGCCAGAATTCAAACCCAGGCAATCTGTCAGGCTTAACATGTTCGTTTTCAGCCAGCCACTGCCTCTCAACAGAACACCGAGGCTGTGCTGCCCTAGGCTCAGCCATGAGGGAGCACCACATGCCAACTCAAAGGCCAACAACACCTCTGCTGCCAGATCCTTCCTCCTCTGAGTGTGGTCTGACAATCAGCAGCATTGGCTGTGAAACACCCAGGAGTTGGTTGAAATGCAGAATCTCAGGCTCTAACCCAGACCTCCAAAATTAGAATCTGTATTTTAGCAAGATTCCCTGGTGATTCATTTGCACATTAAAGTTTCACAGGCACTGCTCTAGAAAACTTTACTTCTAGCCTCTGTTTACAAGTTGCCTTTCTTTGCTTCTAATTTGTTTCTACTAAACTTTTTCTCTTGGGAAAGAAATATTTCTATCTCCTCTACGCTGCTAGAAAGCTCTGCTTCTTCCAACTTCCCTCTGGAAGGGGGGGATCAGAACAGTAACCATACGGGATGCAATAGGTGGAAAGGTGGGGAGGGTGCCCAGTATCCCCAGACTCCAGGCAGCCAGAGAATGCAGGGAATGGGAAGCCACCACCAGGGTACCACCTTTGAGGCCTGCCAGGTGACAGCTTTGTATCACATTTGGAGCAGTGCAGTGACTGGGCAAAGGCTCACTGGGCAGGTACATGCATTATTTCACCAGAGAGAACCTTGGGGCTTCTGTGGTTCCTTAGAACCCTCCTCTTTACTCCAATGAGGGGACCCTGAAGGAAACTGGCCTGGGCATTGGAGGTGGTGGTGCTGGGGCTGGCACTTCACCCTTGGCAGCTCCTAGCTGAGCTCACATGGCCAAAATTCAGAGCACATGGTCCTGGGAGAGCAAAGCTCACCCTTTGGATTAGACAACATGTGCAACTGAATTACATTATTACGTAAGCGCTCTGGAGCCAGAGGCGGGCAGAATGGGAGAAAACCAGACTGGGATTTCCAAAAATAGAGAGGACACTACAATTTAGGAACTCTATGAGGCTAGCCTTTTGGAATAAAACAATCAGATCTTTGATGAATTACTCATATTTAGGAAGGCCTTCTCTAGAGATGGACAACCCTGTGTTGAGGAATATTTTATTTATTTGTTGTTAATGGGGGAGGGAGGATAATAGTGAATTCTTTTGGGTCCAGACTGTCCTTGACCAAATTCCTCTGGTTCAAGCCAGGGTTATCTAACAATAAAGATGATACCATTGGCTGGCACAGATTGGCTACATAGGAAGGATATTAATAGAAATTAATTTTTCCTAATTAAGAGAGCTTAAGCCCCATGGAAAATGACAACCTAAGCTCATAATCTATGGCAGGGATTTATTTCTAAGTGTCTGACTGACAGAAATACTTAAATATTAAATACTTGTTATTTTAAAAATATATCTATTCTTTCCTAATTTCAAAGAGAAAGATAAAGAATGTTTTAGCCCCTTTGGGCAAACGGAAACATTTCCTTGGCAGCAGAAGGGTAAAGTGCCTCTCTCAGGTACCAACATGAATAGCTCAGAGAAGCGCCTACTTCCCAGCCAGTAGACCATAGTTCTCAACCCGCTTCCCAGTCCAGCAGGGTTCAGCTCTCAGCATCTAGGAAGACAGGCACACTTGTTCTCCTGGGGCATCCTGGGAAGTTCCCAGTTTACCTCATTTACCAATTCTGAGAGAAATGGGCTGAGAGGGAACATTTTTTATTTCTACAAATTACCTTTGTCCCAGAAGCTCCTGAAAGAGGTGCAGCACAGAACCAGGAACAAGTTGACTTAAATAAAGTGGAAGGGGAATTGTTTCTTTTTTTTTTTTTTTTTGAGACGGAGTTTCATTCATGTTACCCAGGCTGGAGTGCAATGGTGCGATCTTGGCTCACCACAACCTCCGCCTCCTGCGTTCAGGCAATTCTCCTGCCTCAGCCTCCTGAGTAGCTGGGATTACAGGCATGCACCACCATGCCCAGCTAATTTTTTGTATTTTTAGTAGAGACGGGGTTTCACCATGTTGACCAGGATGGTCTCGATCTCTTGACCTCGTGATCCACCCGCCTCGGCCTCCCAAAGTGCTGGGATTACAGGCTTGAGCCACCGCGCCCGGCCTAGGGGAATTGTTTCTAACACCTACCCAAGATGCAGTAAGGAGAGAAAGGTAATAAAAAACCACAGAGGCCATTTTAAAATCTAGAAGCTGCTCACATCTTCTTCTTGTTTATGTTTGTGCTGCAGTACCTCCTTCCAGATGTAGCAAATCTGGGGGAGGTGAGGCTGGGGAAAATGTGAAAGGGCTTTTTCAAGTAGCACTTGGAAAAAAAAATCCTGAGGCTCATATAGCTACAATTAGCCCATAAACTTCCCACCACCACCAAGGCAAGGAGTTTGCTAGCCTTCTTCTTGCTAATCAATATGTGTATTTCTTCGTTGCATTTTCAGTCCTTTTTTACTCTTAGTGCCATTCATGGTTATTTTAATCTGATTGCATCTGCCGAAGAACAATGTGTGGGAGTCAGAGTAGGAGGAGCAGGAGAGTAATAGAGTCACAGATTTTGGGGCCTCCCCTCCTTGCAGATGGTGCCTTCCTAGGAAGGCTTCTCAGAGGCAACTTAAACAGCTGCAGAGCTAGGATGTCATGCTGCAGCACAATTCTCTCAGACCCCTCTCGGAATCCAGAAACAGCCATGGGACGATTACACGCATGACAGTCATGTCAATATACGGCTGGCTCCAGCCCTCCCCTCTGTGCCCAACTTTGTGCACTAAAGAGAATGCAGCTCTGCCGTCAATTGATCCAGGAAGCAAGCAGAATGGTGGAGGTGGTGGGAGTGTATGTTTCCAGGCCCAAGAGCAGTTATCATATTCAATCTGTTTGTGTTCCTTCACCTCTTTCTTCTGAAGGCCAACATAGACTTCCTGCCAATGCACTGCAACACCCTTCCTAGGTTGCCTGGCTCAGGTTCTAATAAACTGAACTAGAGGTTCTCTAGTCCACTGTTTCTCAAGTTTGCTGCAATAAGAGCTTTAAAAATCTTAATGGCCAAGGCTGGGCCCCAGTGGCTCATACCTGCAATCATAGCACTTTGGGAAGCTGAGGTGGGTGACTGCTTGAGCCCATGAGTTTGAGACCAGCCTGGAGACATAGTCAAACCCCATCTCTACAAAAAATACAAAAATTAGCCAGCCATGGTGGTGCATGCCTGGAGTCCCAGCTACTTAGGAGACTGAGGAAGGAGGATCGCTGGAGTCTGGGAGGTGGAGGCTACAGAGAGCTATGATCATGCCACTGCATTTCAGCTTGGGTTGTCACCTGAGCAGGGCCCGTCTCAAAAAAACAAAACAAACAGAAAAACCCAAAACTTTAATGCCCAGGCCATAACCCAGAACAATTCAAACAGAACTGGGGGAAAGGGGCTGGGCACGCTGGCTCATGCCCTGTAATCCCAGCACTTTGGGAGACGGAGGTGGGCGGATCACTTGAGGTCAGGAGTTTGAGACCAGCCTGGCCGACATGATGAAACCCTGTCTCCACTAAAAATACTGAAAAAAAAAAAAAAAAAAAGCCAGGCATGGTGGCAGGCACCTGTAATCCTGGCTAATTGGGAGGCTGAGGCAGCAGAATCGCTTGAACCTCGGAGGCAGAGGTTGCAGTGGGCCCAGACTGCTGCACTCCAGCATGGACGAGAACAAAACTCCATCTCAAAAAAAAAAAAAAAAAAAAAAAAAAAAAAAAAAAAAGGGGGGGGAAAGGGGCCCAGGAATCTTTTAAAGATCCTTCTGTTGATTCCAATGCAGAGCAGCCAAGATTGAGAACCTTGACTCTAGCCTGTCCCCTTATCTTAGTTTTTCATGGTACTTTGTTTTACTAAATTATGGTTGTTTGCTGGTCTTCCTTCAATAAAATGTAGGCTCCAGGCGTTTTGGGAGCACAGACACATCTGCTTGTTCCCTGCTGTATCCCTAGCAACATCTAGAGCAGTACCTGGCAGATATTAGGCAGTCATTAAGTAATCAATTAATATCTGCATTCCTACACAGCTTCTGACCTCAGGATTTGACTCAGGCATCTGAGCCACATTCCTTTTCTCCTTCACTAAACTGATAGCAGGATCACAAAACGGTGACCCACAAAAATCTATAAACACCTGGTTCCTAGCCAACTGCAGTTTAATCAACAGGAATTTTATTGTTGATTTTTAAGCTCTGCTATCAAAAAAGAGGAGGCAGTACTATGCAATGTTTTAATGCAAAACCCAATAAAAGTCTATGACAATGTAACAAAGGTAGTCGGATTCCATTTGCTTGGCTCTGACTGGTACAGGGCAAAGTCTGAGGCTTGGCTTAGTGTCCACATTAGGGATGGTCATTTGATGATGCTTGTCAAACCCAGCCTCCTATCTGTAGAAACTGGAGCAGAGACAGAGCAACAAGGCAGCCTGAAAAGTGTGGGCAGGCTCTCCACAGGACTATCTTTAGTTGTTCCCTCTATATAAACGGGGCAGGAGGGGACACTGAATAGACCCACTGCTAGGAGCACTCACTCTCTTAGCAGGGCACACACCTTAGAGAGAAAAGAATTGTGTGCCAAGAGCTACGGTATCCTGGAAATAACCCTGTCCATAGATGCAGCAAGGCTACAAGCAAACATTCCCCTAACAATGCAAACAAACCCAGCAACTGCCGCTAGGTGTTCTGAAGAGCGACGGGTACATGATGTCTCAAAACTCCTCAGTCTGAATACTGTTCACAGAGAAAATACACTAAGGACCTGTTCATCTTTTTCCATGATCATGTCGACTCCATCTCCTGGGGGTTATCAGAGGGGCCCTTGATATCACAGCTTTCCTGCTCCCTAATCTTAAAGTCTCACCGCTAATGGCTCCACTGTCCTTTAAAATCATGACAAGAGGATGAAGGGTGACACTTTAGATCCTTTAAAATTTTTCTATCAAGGTCAAAGCTCCAGAGGAGGGCTTAACCCATTTTGGAGAATCCCCCTGGATTCTCTGGAGCTTTGAACACAAAGTGACTCCACGTGAAGATGCCTCGGGCTTCTTTCTTTATAATACAGGGGAGAAGGCCTTATTTAATGCTAAGCCAGGGTCTCTTGACACCGCTAGAGGCAGGACGGTCTGCGTGCAAGGAAGCCAGGATGGGCGGTAGGGCGGATTCAAACAAGCCGGAGGCTTAGGAGTGACCTCCCCAGCCCAGCAATGGGCTCTTTACTTGAAGAATGAGCAGAAACTCGTCCCGCCTTCACACTACAGTATATCCCTTCCGCCCCTCCCTAAGTAGACCTTAAGAGCTCTAGACCAGGAGACCCTGTTCTGCCACTCAACTGGGTGCAAGTCTTTGGGTGGGTCGACTTTGGGTCTCCAGGGCTCAAGGGTTTCATCTGTACAACGGGGATCATGATCTCCGTTCCGCATGCAGTTGTGAGGCTCAGAGGGGTAACAGTGCGAACGAGCTTTGTGAGCGGCTGAGCCCTGACCACCGGCGCGTTAGGACCATAACGAATTACTTCCCCAGTCTCGGCTTCTTTCCTCTGGCCTTCTGGCCTTGGAGGGGTTGGGGGGGATCATGCTATTCGCCGGTCATCCCAGGGTCCTGGCTGCGTCCCCGCCACCCCGCCCCGGGTCCCCTCACCTCCATCGGTTGATCCCGACTGAGGAGGAGGCCGCGAACCACGGGTCGAGGATGTAAACGCAGCGCACGCAGCGCGCCCCGCGCACGGCTGCCAGCAGCGCCGGGTTGTCGTGGAGCCGCAGCCCTTTGCGGAACCAGTGCACGGAAGAGGCGCCGTCCGTGCTGGGCGCTGGCGCAGGGGCCGCAGCTGCCGCAGTCGCCGCCGTCGCCGCCATGACTGTCCAGACTGCTCCGGCCACCCCCGCTCCGCCCCGGTAGGCGCCGCGGACCCCGCCCACAGCCCGCCCAGTGACCTATGACGCCGCAGCTCCCCTCTATGCCCCGCCCCCAGAGCTTCTGGAGCCCCTCTACCATTGGCTGAGTGCCTCCCGCCCGGCGATTGGCCCAGAGGCGCCGGAACAGGCTCCGCCCCCTCACGTTCCTACCATGTGTGGGTCCGCCCGGGTGGAGGGCAGGTCGGACAAGTGACGCAGGCTGGCGCTCTCCGCGGAGGGCTGGGAGTGGGTCGAGTCTCCAGGGACAGCGGATCTCTTACACACGTCCTATTCAGGGCCTGCTTCTGGAAGAAGCTGCCTAGGCTGGCCCGGGTTGCTATTGACTACAACTAGTGACTTGCAAGACTGACAACTGACCTCTTCCTATTATCACCAACATCCTCCTCATCACCATCTACATCATTCTACTACAGCTGAGTGCACTTTATATCGCAAGAGACATGATCATCTCCTTACGTAGACGGTCTCATTTACTATTCTCAACTCAATCCAGATACATTCATTTAACGAACCCCAGTGAAAGAGCTGCTATTTTCGTTTTACAGATGAAGAAAATGAAGGGTGCTGCAGGTTGAGCGACTTGCCCACTATCATAAAGCTGATAAGAGGATTCCATCCAGATTATTCTGATTTCGAGACTTCTACTTTTATCCACGAAGCCATACTTCTCTTTGTGCTAAGATCCTTGGTAATTGCAAGCGGCAGAGCTTAAGGATGGGGAAGGAGTACCCTGATATGCAGCAGGAGAGGATTTGGTAGTAGGGACTGGGGATGCGGAGGACTTGCGTTAAGATAGTAATTATGCCATCAGATTAATTTCTTTACTTTTTTTGAGACGGAGTTTTGATCTTGTTGCCCAAGCTGGAGTGCAATGGCACGATCTCGGGTCATCGCAACCTCCCTCTCCCGGGTTCAAGCGATTTTCCTGCCTTAGTCTCCCAAGTAGCTGGGATTACAGGCATGTGCCACAATGCCGGGCTAATTTTGTATTTTTAGTAGAGAGGGGGGTTTCTCATGTTGGTCGGGCTGGTCTCGAACTCCCGACCTCAGGTGATCCGCCTGCCTCGGCCTCCCAAAGTGCTGGGATTACAGGCATGAGCCACCGCATCCAGTCCGAATTTATTTTCTTTTAGAGTGTTTAGCAGACCCAGTGGTACTATCGTGTACAAAGCAGTGTACTGAATGCCAGGTGGGGTTCAGAGATGTGGAGGACATTGTCCCCATTCTTCTGGAGTGCCAGGTGGAACCCTCTTATTCCTCTGGAGTCTAGCACAGGGCTTGCTGATTGACTGACTAAATGGCAAGAGAAGCTATAAACACCAGCAACAGGGTGTTGGGTGGGCTGAGATGCCTTAGTCAAGCTGCAGCTTTGGGGTTATCTGGTGGAGAACAGCCTGTTTCCATTTGGCCCTAGATTGAGCCCATGCTTGGAACCCTTCCTGGACCTGGGGCAGAGCCATGAAAGAATTTAGCAATTTAGTCTGTTGTTTAGTGGCATTGATTGGCGCCACTCTGTAAACCAGTGTCACTGCAATCCTAGGCATTCTCTATCATTTCCAGGGCTTTTCACAAGCTGTTCCCACGGCCTAGATCACACTCCCTCTTCCTTCTTTGTTTCTAACTCCAGTTTGCTCTGTGTCATTGTTCAGTATAGATGTCACCTTCTTGCTTTCTGGTCCCAGCCTGCATAGTGCCCCGTCTCATTCTGTGCTTCTTTTTGGTCACTCGTCTTGGCACATGGTACTGGGATTTCTTGCTTAAATACCTTTCTGCCCCATAAGACCATGAACTCCTGGAGGGCAGGGGGTGTGGCTTATTTACAGTTGTATGTCCAAGGTCTAGCTCAGTGCTTGGCACTTAATGCTCAAGGATTATTTGAGTAAAAGTTGAACAGAGACTAGAGTCTCATATTGACAGGATCTCTTTTTTTTTTTTTTTTTTTTTTAAATTGAGATGGAGTCTTGCTCTGTCACTCAGGCTGGAGTGCAATAGCACGATCTTGGCTCACTTCAACCTCTGCCTCCTGGGTTCAAGCGATTCTCCTGCCTCAGCCTACTGAGTAGCTCGGGTTACAGGTGCGTGCCACCATGCCCAGCTAATTTTTGTATTTTTAGTAGAGATGGGGTTTCACCACATTGGCCAGGCTGGTCTTCAACTCCTGACCTCATGATCTGCCCACCTCGGCCTCCCAAAGTGCTGGGATTGCAGGCATGAGCCACTGCGCCCAGCCCATATTGGCAGGATCTTAAAGGTTTATCCTGGTCCCCTTACCTGACCCCATCCTTATTTTTGAATTTCCTTTCCAAATACTTGCTGATTAAATTGGTGCCAACTGTCATTACTTTTAAGGCTTTGTGTTCTCCCTCTCCTATCCCCTTATCTCTCTACAAGGCTGGTGCTTTACTACAAATGGAACAGAAAGTGTAAGGAGGTGGTTCTCCCATAAACAACCCCAGAGATGGGCCCTCTTCCCCTTTTCTTCTCTGAATTTCCATGATGCTATATTTGTATTCTTTGAGCCCTCTGAGGCAGGGACTCTGCTTGTCTTAAAACATTTGCTGAATGATTAAAAGTCATTTCTCCTTCCTTCCTTTCCTCCCTCCCTTTCCTTTCCTTCCTTCCTCCTTTCCTTTCCTTCCTTTCCTTCCTTCCTTTCCTTTCCCCTCTCTGTTCTTTTCCCCTCTCCTTTCCTTTCCCCTCTCCCCTCCCTACCCCTCCCCTCCCTTCCCCTCCACTTCTGTCCCCTTTCTTTCGGCTGTCATGAGAGGCAGTGTGGTGTAATGATTAAACCCGAGGCTTCACACATTGAAGTGGCTGAGTTCAAATTGTAGTTCTGCTTTTATTTTCTGTGACCTCGTGTAAGCTAGTTAACCTCTCTATTCCTCACTTTCTTTTTTTCTTTTTTTTTTTGAGACAGAGTTTCGCTCTTGTCACCCAGACTGGAGCGCAATGATGCGATCTCGGCTCCCTGATACGTCTGCCTCTAGGGTTCAAGCGATTCTCCTGTCAGCCTCCCAAGTAACTGGGATTACAGGCGCCTGCCACCACACCCAGCTAATTTCTTTCTTTCTTTTTTTTTTTTTTTTGTATTTTTAGTAGAGATGGGGTTTCACCATGTTGCCTAGGCTGGTCTTGAACTCCTGACCTCAGGTGATCTGCCCACCTCAGCCTCCCAAAATGCTGTGCTTACAGGCGTGAGCCACTGCACCCAGCCTGTTCCTCACTTTCTTAATCTTTACCATAGAGTGATAGTAGTACTTAGGATATAGTAAGCATTTGTACTGTGTCAGCCACTATTATTCTGAACAGCAGGACCTGTGTCTGGTTTTGTCTTCCTTGCAATGCTCAGCCCTGGGTCTTACATGTAATGTGGCTCCATAAGTTGCTGAGTAAATAAAATGTTTTACTCATTTAAAAAATTTTATTTAATTTTTTCTTTTTTGTTTGTTTGATCAGTGGTAATATTTTACTCATTTTTTAAGTCTTCAAAATTTTACAAATAATGAAAAAACAAGTAATCACCATCAGTTCCCAAAACCTAACAAATCAATTATTTCTTATCTTCATGTTGCTTTCTAGACTTTGTCCACAAACATCTAAGTTTTAAAACTTTAATCAAAGCAGAGGTTCAGTGCTCCATGACTTGTTTATTCTTTTTTTTTTTTTTAATTATTATTTGAGACAGAGTCTCGCTCTGTCACCCAGACTGGAGTGCAGTGGCATGATCTCAGCTCACCTCAATCTCTGCCTCCTGGGCTTAAGCAATTCTTGTGCCTCAGCCTCCCAAGTAGCTTGGGACTACAGACACCTGCCAGCATGCCTGGCTAAATTTTGTGTTTTTAGTAGACTCAGGGTTTCACCATATTTGTCAGGCTGATCTTGAACTCCTGACCTCAGGTGATCCACCTGCCTCAGCCTCCCAAAGTGCTGGGATTATAGGTGTCAGCCACCAACTGCGCCTGGCCTGTTTTTTTTTTTTTTTTTTTTTAAAAAAAAACGGGGGTCTTGCTATGTTGCCCAGGCTGGTCTTGAAGCAATCAACTCCTGGCTTCAATCGATCCTCCTTCTTTGGCCTCCCAAAGTACTGGGATTACAGGCATGAGCCATTGCACCCTGCTCTGCTTTTTAAAAACTTAAAATATTAAGCGTGTTGTATATTGCTGCATCATTACTTTTGTGTCTTTTTTGTGATTGTGTTGTCAAGTTGATCAAGATGAATTATTAATACTTTATTGAATAATTGCATGTTGCTTTGGTATATTAACGGTGTTACTCTCAAGAATCGAGAAGTAGGGAAAGTAAGGTGCTCTCGCCTCTAATCCCAGCACTTTGGGAGGCCGAGGCAGGCAGATCATTTCGGGTCAGGAGTTGATCTGGCCAACATGGGGTAACCCCATCTCTACAAAAAAATACAAAAATTAGCCGGGTGTGGCGACGTGCCTCTGTAATCTCAGCTACTCAGGAGGCTGAGCGAGAATGGCTTGAACCCGGGAGAAGGGTACAGTGAACTAAAATCATGCCACTGCACTCTAGTCTTGGTGATGAAGTAAATCTGACACTAGATAGGGCACTAGAGTAAAAAGTCCACTTTGGGTTTTTACGCTTTAAAAGGGACACAGAGAAATTGGAGAGAGACCAAAGAAACTTGTACATTGCTGAGGAAGTGAAATGTAACAGAGTACTATTGTCTCTTTGAGGGAAATAAGAGCTGATTTTTGGCTGGGCGCGGTGGCTCACGTCTGTAATCTCAGCACTTTCGTAGGCCGAGGAGGGCGGATCACCTGAGGTCAGGAGTTCGAGCACAGCCGGGCCAACATGGTGAAACCCATCTCTACTAAAAATACAAAAATTAGCCTGGCATGGAGGCTCATGTCTACAATCCCAGCTGCTCGGGGGACTGAGGCAGGAGAATCGCTTGAACCTGGGTGACAGAGGTTGCAGAGAGCCGAGATTGTGCCATTGCACTCCAGCCCGGGCGACAGGGCAAGACTCCGTCTCAAAAAAAAAAAGCTGATTTTTGACCTC